TGGGGTTCATCTGGAGGTGTGCGCAGGGGGGCTGGGGCTGGGGCTCCTGCAGGCAGAAGCGCTGGGGAGCGGGGACCCCATTCCCAGGGGAGAAGGCACTCCTAACCTCAGCACTTGGCCCGTGGTGACCGGGTCCAGCAGTGACAAGGGGGCAGATAAACATCCATTTCAGTGCCAACGATACATCGTTGGGCACCTGTGAACCACGGTGCTTGGCTTGCAGGATTTTGTTCTTTCTGAACTAAGCAAAGCACTGAGTTATACTCGAAGGGCGAGCCCTATCGGATCAAACGACAAAGCCCACTGTGAACCCAGCCCGACACCCCAGGCAGAGGAAGTTCGGCCTCCACAGCCCCAAGAATGACACCAGGAAAAAAGTTATTGAGCGCCTCCCAGTGTGTGAGGTTACTGTTATTGTTGACAGAGAGTTACTGTCTCTTCTCCAGGGAGGCATAGCCCAGCCTGGAAGACAGACAAAAAGTAAATGAAGGTCCAGTAAAAGGGCCAGCCGCATGGTGTTGATATACCTCTTGAGTTTAGGGGAAGTGGCCTGGGCTGGCCTAGGTGGGCTGCCTGGAGGAGGAAGCACTCAAGCTGGGCCTTGAAAGGCTGGAAAGGATTTAGTGAGCTGCAGGGGACACTGAGGAGCTTTTCAAACAGAGGCACTGGCCTGAGCAGAGGCTGTAAGGTAGATGATTTCAGGAGACCCGGGACACCCAGTGGAGGCAGGCACCCTGGGAGTCAGGGAGGCCCAGGGCCTGCCGTAACCACCCCTTCCCGGCCCCTGCAGCTGGCCTACGTTGGCACCATCAGCATTGGAACGCCCCCGCAGGAGTTCAAGGTCATCTTTGACACCGGCTCATCTGACCTGTGGGTGCCCTCCGTCTACTGCTCTAGCCCTGCCTGCGGTGAGTGCAGCCTTCCGACACGCGTCCCCACCGCCCCGTCCCCGGTCCTCAGCAGACTAACGGACGCTCACCTCCTGTGTCTGCAGCTAATCACAACGTCTTCAACCCTCTGCGGTCCTCCACCTTCCGGATCTCGGGCCGGCCCATCCACCTCCAGTACGGCTCCGGGACGATGTCAGGATTTCTGGCCTACGACACCGTTCGGGTAACGTGGAAACCGGAGGCTGCGGCAGGCCGGCCGTGGGAGCGATGACTGCTTAGAGGACTAGATGTGGGGTCAGGTGGGAGCACCTGTCTTTCCCAAAGTCCCCCGGCAGCTGGCCGCCTGCCCTGTGGGGCTGCGTCCCTAGGGAGGTATTCTAGACGACAGGGAGTCCCTTTCCCACTGGGAGGCAGCGCAGGGCTCACACAGGTGGGGGGTGTTTGGGAGGTGGGGGCGGAACTGATACGGGGGGGGGGGTCTGGGTGCAGCCGACAGCTCCTGGGCTCCCAGGCAAAAAAGCAGGGGCCACAGGAGTGGGAGTGGCCTGATAAATGGGTCCCTCCCCTCGGGGGCCTTCCAGAATCTAATAAAAACCCTGGACTGCCTCCTCCAAAGCACCTGAACACACACACCCCTTGGGCGGACACAGGATCCACAATGAATTGTGAGGGACGCACGCCATTTCTGTCACTGCGTCATAGCAATGCCAATAAGACGGCCACCCTCCTCTCGCTTCCTTTTGTCCTCAAGTGGGAACAGTTTGGTCCCGCTTCCAGTCTCGGTTTCCCCGCCTGTGACAAAGTCATGGCGTCACGGGGGAGCAGGTGTGGGTTAAAATCCCCAGCGCCACGCAGACAACGCGTGTGTCTGTCCCGGCGTGTCGCGGCCACCTGAGGTCTGCCCAGGGCACGGCCACGCCTCGGTCTCTCTCTGTGGTGTTAGTCGTATCTCCCTGCCCACATCCGCCCAGCCCAGCCCCACGTTCCAAATCCGTCCCCGGTAACACCCTCTTCTCCCGCAGTTCGGGGGCCTCGCTGACGTGGCCCAGGCGTTTGGCCTGAGCCTGAGGGAGCCCGGCAAGTTCATGGAATACGCAGTTTTCGACGGCATCCTGGGCCTGGCCTACCCCAGCCTCAGCCTCAGAGGGACCGTCCCTGTCTTCGACAACCTATGGAAGCAGGGTCTCATTTCTCAGGAGCTCTTTGCCTTCTACTTGAGCAAGTAAGTCCGGGCTGGACCGGCCCTTTGTCGAAAAATGGTAGACTACTTGACCCTAACGTTTCTTGAGAGAGAGCCTAGTCCGGGGGTCAGCACACAATGGCCTGGGGGCCGTAGGTGGCCCACCATCTGCTTTTTGTAAATAAAGTTTTATTGGAACACAACCAGGCTCATTTGTTTCCGTCCCGCCCGTGGCTGCCATTGCTCTGCTACGGCAACACCAAGCAATCGCAATAGATACCGTGCGGCCTGCGAAGCCTCAAATAATGATGCTCTGGCCCTTGACGGGAGAGCTTTGCTGACCCCCACAGTCTAAGTCCCTCATCTGACAGATGGGGAAACCAAGGCTCAGAGAGGAGCTTTGCACAAGGTTGCCCAGGCAGGTACTTGCGGACGGCAGGACTCGATCTCAGCCTGTAGGATTCTCCCCCATGGTGTGTGGTCAGGTCAGATCTCCAGTCTCCAGTCTCCGGGCTCAGTAGCGGGAAAAGCTGAAGTCCCCTGACCTGTTGAGGGGCTGGGAGGGATGTGGGGGCAGGGGAGAAGCCCAGACTCGTGAAGGACCCTGCTGACAGACTGTGTCTTCTCCACCCAAGGCTGAGTTTGACCCACAGATGTGTGTAGGGGACAGAGAGTATGGTGGAGGCTGTGGGTTCTAGGGGGCCTGAGTTCAAACCCCAGAGCTGCTGAACCCCTCTGAGCCTCAGGAGTACGAGAGCCAGTCGAAGGAGAAGATTCATTCAACATGTATTGATTGAGCACCTACTATGGGCTGGCGAAGGAGGCAGCCAAGAAATAAGTACATAAAGAAAGGGAAAAAGTACCTCCGGATGGTAACTGGTTCCACGGCAGCAACAAAACAAGGTGATAGAACAGACAGCAATGGGCGAGGTTGCAGACAGGCTACGGCAAAGGCCTCTCTGAGCTGAGACCTCTGAGATGGGAGAGAGCCGGGCCGGGGAGACAAAGTTCCAGGCAGAGGAGCACCTGAGCACCACCCGAGCACCAGCAAGGGAGCGGGTGCGGCCGGAGCCCTGGGGGAGGAGGGAGGTGGGAAGGAAGTCTGGCAGAGAGGCAGGGACAAGGCTCCCCTGGGTTGGGTTTTTTCTTGGGGGGGGGAGAGAGAGAGAGAGAGACAGAGCACAAGTGGGGGAAGGGCAGAGAGAGAGGGAGACGCAGACTCTGAAGCAGGCCCCAGGCCCGAAGCTGGTCAGCACAGTCTGAATGGGGCCTGGCAACTCCTCACCGAGAGAGATTGCTCTGAGTCAAGTCGACGCTAATCGAGCCTCCCCAGGAGCCCCAGCGGCTCTGGGGTTTTGCTCGAACGGGGAGCGGAGGCCTCTGGCAGGGGTTAGGTGGAAGAGACATGATCCACTTACACTCTTGGAAGTTACCTGGTGCCCCCCCGGAGATGCCGGAGCGGAGGCAGGGAGGCCAGGGAAGAGGCTACATACAGCAGCCTCTTTAGGAGAGAGAGGTATGCTGGTCCGGGAGGTGGAGGCTGGGGGGGGCGGAGCCTGAGCACGAAATGGGATATACGCTATGAAGAGGCAAGATGGGGCCCATAGGATCAAGCAGGAAGGAAGGAGAGGGGTCGGCAGAGAAGTTTCCTCCTCATATTATTTTATGCGTTCTCAGGCCCCGTATAATTTGGTAGGAACAGTACAAACGAAACGTGAGGGCCCCTGTTTGACAAGCATTGGGAACTTCCAGACAGGGATGGCGGAGATGTGGGGCTCACTCCAGCATCGGGCCCAGAGTCTGCCACCCCGGTGAGCCTGGAGCGCCTAATTTTTCTTTTGAAAGATGGCAGGCCAGACTCCTCTGGGTCGACTGGCCCCTGACCAGCCTATCTGAGCCCTGGATCAGCCAAGGGGTCGGCCCAGGGATGGTCAGGACAGCCCCTGAAGTCGACTGTCCCGCTTCAACTCCGGGCTTCACCATTTCATCAGCCAGGCTTCAACCTCTCCGTGCCTCAACCTCCCTGTCTGTAAGACGGAGAGCAGAGGATGTGTGGACAAGTGAGCCACGATAAACACAGCCCTCAGACAGTGCTGCTGAGCTTGAGAAAAGCATCCCACACCCTCCCCCCCCCCCCCCCGGCCCGGTTATCTTTCACTCACGATGAGCCCTTCCTTCTCCCTCCCACCTCAGAAAGGACGCGGAGGGCAGTGTGGTGATGTTCGGCGGTGTGGACCACTCCTACTACAGCGGAGACCTCAACTGGGTGCCGGTGTCCAAACGGCTGTACTGGCAGTTACCCATGGACAGGTAGGCCCGGCCCTCAGAGCGCCGCCCCGAGTGATGCCCACGCGGGCACACGCACGCAGACGTGCCCGGACACCCGCTGCCCATGGGTCCTCACAGCCCCACGCCTCCTGGCGAGGTCCTGGCCAGGGAAGAAGGCCCAGGCCCGGATCTTGGAGTGTGAAGCGAGGGGCAAGGGAGGCCCGCCGACGTGGGGAGCTGAACTCTCTCGGGGAAGAAGCAGCGGCTGCAGGTCTGCGCCCGCCTCCTGTGGGGGAGGCTGAGACGGAAAGGGGATCAGAGAGACGTCCGCCAAGGGGAACCTCCATTTTCACTGTGGGGGCCCCATCATGAGCCACGCACCAAATACGGGTCTCTCGTTGTCCCTCGCTCGCTTCCTCTTCATTTGTTCGTTCGTTCGTTCATTCAGCAAACATGTTGAATAGCTGCTGAGTCCTGGTCTCTTGAGGGAGGCCCTGAGAATAGAACTTGCTCTTCCAGAGCTCACCATCTCACAGGGCAGGTGTACAGGAAACAAGTCACACAAATAAGGAATTACTCCCTTTGATGCATGCCAGAAATGAGGGAAACTATGCCAAGGTGACCCAGAGAGGAGACCTGACCGAGGGTGGGCGTAAGACTTGCCTGAAGCTGGAACCTGGAGGATGAGGAGAAATTAGCCCAAGGGAGTTGGGGTGGTTCTAGAAAGGGGCCGCAGCGTATGCAAAGGCCCTGAGGCCCAAGAGAGTTTGGTCCAGTTGCAGAGCTGAAGGAAGTCACAGAAGGTCAGCAGGGTCAGCAGGGAGCTGGAGCCAGAAGCTCAGAGACCCCCCCCCCTTTTCTGTACATTCCCTTCCTTGCAGGGGGTCATGGGGAGACGGTGAGACAGCATATTCTTACTCTTTTTTTTTTTTTTTAATTTTTTTCAACGTTTATTTATTTTTGGGACAGAGAGAGACAGAGCATGAACGGGGGAGGGGCAGAGAGAGAGGGAGACACAGAATCGGAAACAGGCTCCAGGCTCTGAGCCATCAGCCCAGAGCCCGACGCGGGGCTCGAACTCACGGACCGCGAGATCGTGACCTGGCTGAAGTCGGACGCTTAACCGACTGCGCCACCCAGGCGCCCCGAGCATATTCTTACTCTTAATGGTGGTTTCTGACCCACCGAGAAGTTGCCTCTGGTTCCAGGAAGACTCACGTGGAAAACGAGTTTTACAAACTGTTCCCTTGAGTCTCCATTAAGCCTGAGCTGAGGGGGTGTGCGGGAGAAGCCGGGGAGAGGGGGGTAGCGAAGGGAGCCCGCAGAGTCATCCTCCGGTCTGCTTTGTCCCCCTGCCTCCCAGCATCTCCATGAACGGGGAGGTCATTGCTTGTGATGGTGGCTGCCAGGCCATCATTGATACAGGAACCTCGCTGCTGATTGGCCCATCTCACGTTGTCTTCAACATCCAGATGATCATCGGCGCCAACCGGTCCTACAGCGGCGAGGTGAAGGGTCACGCGGCAGGGTCGCCCTAGGGCTCCCCACACGTAGAAGGGTCGGCTGGGCCAAACTCCTCTCCCTCGCTTTCTCTGACAGTACGTAGTTGACTGTGATGCCGCCAACACCCTGCCCGACATCGTCTACACCATCAACGGCATCGACTACCCGGTGCCAGCCAGTGCCTACATCCAGGAGGTGAGGAGCCCACAACCCCGGGGCCGGTCCTCAGATCCGGGACTTGCAGGAAGGCTGGGGAGCAGCCGGGAGGAAGAGCCCCCCTGGAGGCCAAGCCGCGTCACTGCAGATGCCGCTGAGTGGCCAGGGAAGGCCAGCGTGGGTCCCCGGGAAGGCTGCCTGCAGGGGCTGAGCTCAGTCGGAAGGAGCCGGTAGGGGCGAGGGGAGAAGGGAAGGCATACTTTGCAGAGGCAATGGCCGGCGCGAGTCAGAAGGAAAGACCCGGCGGACAGTGAGAGCTGCAGACAGTTCTGGTTCCTGCGTGGGCACCCCACTTCCGCCACTGCTGACTGGTGAGTGTTTCTGTCTCCTCCAGGGTCCTCAGGGCACCTGCTACAGCGGCTTTGACGAGAGCGGAGACAGCTTGTTGGTCTCAGACTCCTGGATCCTGGGCGATGTCTTCCTGAGGTTGTATTTCACCGTCTTCGACCGAGAAAACAACAGGATTGGCCTGGCTCTGGCAGTGTAAACACTGGGGCCAGCTCCAGGAAGCAACCGTGCCCACCCCAAACCCGCGCGCGTGTGCGCACACACACACACACACACCCCGCAGTCAGGGCATTCCTGCCCAGGGGCCGGCTTGAACTGTGTCTTCGGCTCTGCAAAGCCCTTCTCCCAGTGGAGAATAAAAGACCTCATTTTCCACGGTGCTAATATGAATGAGTGCCTCTCTTTGGGTCGGGGCGGTGCATCCGGATCAGGCAGGGCTCCAGAATCTAGCCTGGACCGCCAGTGAGAGGGGCCCAACTCCAGCTGGAAGGCTACTGGGGACCCCAGGACGCAGGAACCAGAGCAGGTCCAGAGGTCTCGGGGACGCAAGGAATCAAATGCCATCAGCTCATTCTCTCTCTCCCTCCCTGTTTCCTTTCTCTCATCTTTGATTCTCTTCGCCTGACAAGTTTCTTTCCCTCGGTCTTCTGCCTGGGCTGAAGGACCGGGAGGCTGCCGGCCTCGCGACCTCCCAGCCGTAAGGAATCAAAACGGAAAGGAGGAAACCTTCCGCGAGAGCCGGGTACCAGGGAAGGCTCTGATTGGACCACCTCGGGTCATGTGACCAGCCCTGGCCCGACCGTAGTGGCCCCGCATGATTGGCCCTACTTGGTCACGTGGCCTCATCTGTGCTGTGGGTGCGATTGACAGTATCTCACGGGACCACTCGGCTCGGGGGGAGGGGCCCCCGGAAGAGGCGGCAGAAGTGTGTTCTAGACAGGTGGGAAATTGGTGACTCTGCCACCAAGATCCGCCCCCTCCTCGCTCAGAGGGATGATAAAAATAGATTCTGTCCTTCCATGGCAAAGGACCGGCTGGCAGTGACCTTCTCCTGAACGAGGCCCTTTAAGCTCAGGTGGTTCCACCCTGCCCCCCCCCCCCCAGCCAAGCGGGCAAAGGACAGCCACCAACTCCCTGCCACCTACAGTGTCTTCTCCAGTCCTGCTTCCCAAGTGGCAGACCCATGTGGATGCCTGAGCCCTCCCCACCCCTCAGAAGCCCTCTAAGACTTTCTCGGGGAGATAGACGCTCACGTAAAAGGGGACCCAGGGTGCACAAGGCCCCCAGCCTTCTAGAGCTTGCTATTCTGAGCCTCTTCCAGGGGTGCAGCTAGGACACCATTTGGTTTGAGCTGCCTTGGTTTGGGAAGTGTGGGTTGGGGGCATCACTTCTCCCCACCTGGAGACCCCAGGCAGAGGCCCAGGATGGGTCAGCGAGAGTCAAAAGGCAGAGGGAGGGAGGCCCAGACGGAAGAAGGAGTAAAAAAGTGGAAAACGCCATCCTATCCCATGCATGGTGCGGCCATCACTCCCAGGGGACAAACAGTGGGGGACGTGACATTTCTTCCTTTGGCATCCTTTCCTTTGCTGCGCATTTACTGAGCACCTACGACGTGCCAGGCACTATGATGGGCCCCTGGGATAGAAGACTGGATTAGCAGGGCACCTGGGTGGTCTGGTCGGTCGGTTAAATGTCCGACTCTTGATTTCCACTCAGGTCATGATCTCAGGGTTCATGAGATCGAGCCCCGCCCCGGGCTCTGCGATATAAGAGCAAAGCCTGCTTGGGATTCTCTCTCTCCCTCGCTGCCCCCCCGCCCCGCTCTCGTGAGTGCACACGCGCATGCTCTCTCTCTCTCTCGCTCTCTCTCTCTCTCAAATAAATAAATAAAGTTTGTTTTTAAAGGGCTGGATTAGGGGGGCGCCTGGGTGGCTCAGTCGGTTAAGCCTTCGACTTCGGCTCAGGTCATGATCTGGCAGAGTGTAAGTTCAAGCCCTGTGCTGGGCTCTGTGCTGACAGCTCAGAGCCTGGAGCCTGCTTCAGATTCTGCATCTCCCTCTCTCTCTTCTCCTCCCCTGCTCGCGCTCTGTCTCTCTCTCCTTCAAAAATAAATAAAAACATTAAAAAAATTTTTTTTAAACACACAAAAATCCAGAACTGGGCTTAATGGAGACTCAAGGGAACAGTTTGTAAAACTCGTTTTGCACGTGAGTCTTCCTGGAACCGGAGGCAACTTCTCGGTGG